GTTTCATTAATGTTAGAAAAATACATGAAACAGTTTCATTAAGTATTATATGAAACAATTTCACAACCATATATGAAACAACTTCATCAAAAAAAGTATTATATGAAACAATTTACAAGATTAAACAATTTCATGAAAAAATTTCATAAGATTAAACAATGAAATTGACAGATGGAGGTGGTTTGCACGGTTTACACAAATGATGGCGGTTTTCATATGATCWCTCCTCTCTCTCTCTCTCTATATATATATATATAGAGAGAGAGAGAGAGAGAGTTTGTTTCAAATACAACCTATTACATTTATACAATCAATGCAACCCAATAAATTGAAATATTTATGAAAATAATGAGAGTTCAATTATTATGATTTAAATATTTATGAAAGATGAATAAGATTCATTAATTATGATCAATACTTTATTTTAGGAAATAATTAAAACTTCTATGAAATTACATATTCATCAAATTAAATGGATGGTTGAGATTGAGTTGTATTGGTTGTACAAATGTAAGAGTTGTATAATAATTTATCTCTCTCTCTCTCTCTCTCTCTCTCTCTATATATATATATATATATATCGATTTTAATATTTTATTTTATTTCGTCTATGTAGATGTTTTAATACGTTTTTTATGTGGTTTTAAGAAAGAGATAATATTTTTATTTTTGAATAAAATATAAAATTTCAAAAATACATATGTCAATATTAGTGTCAAATTAACTATTTAAAAGTTCTTGTTTTTCGTGTAAGTTCTTTAATGCAATTTCTTTATAATTTAATCTAGATGTAATAAAGTAGTAATTTATTTTTGATTCAATAATACAAATTTTTATAACGACAATAATTAAGTATTTCGTTAGAACTTAATGATTATTCTAATTATATTTCAGATTTTATATATTTAGAATGAAATGTTTATCTTGTATTTGACTATGTTTACCTGCAGTTAGTTACACGAATTCAAACATGAAACTTTAATAAGTTATACTTACACACAGTTTATTTGTAATCTTCATGCATAAAAGTGGTTTTTAAGAGTTTTTATCAAATACTTTATAATATAGTATATATATATATATATATATATATATATATATATTATCAAATGCGTCATTTAGTTATTTAAATAACTAAATTAAGTAAAAAAACAATTGTTGGTACTTAATTTGGGACGGAGAAAGTATTATATATAGTGTCATTTAATTAAACAATTTTTCGGTTAAGAGCATGACATGACCTTTTAAACACAATCAACTCAAAAGCTTCCAAAATGAAATTCCTTGGATGTTAAACATCGTGGTTCTCATGTAAAACACATTGTCGTTATAAGATACTGGAAAAAACACTGTATATTTTTTTGGTGATCGAAACGTAAAAAATGTGTACGTTTTGATGATCATCGTATGAAAGACAAGACGTTTGAGGAAAAAAGCAGGAAGTTAGAGAAGATGGATGTCACATGGGGGACACTAAAGTTGACACGGAGGAGTCAGTACGTACGGAGGGGACGGCATATGG